CTCATATGACTGTTTTACATATCCTACATTCCAGCCAAAAGAGACTCCAAGTAGTACCCTCAACTCTGTGTGACAGCTCCTACCTTTGCCTTCACATGACCCTCCTCCTCCAGTACCCTTCAGATACAATATCTCCCCAGAAGACTAGCCTGGATGCTACCTACATTCTGAAATCTTTCTGAGTACCTTCAGCTGCTGGTTTTTACTCTATGATCATAGATTCCTAGATAAATTAATCTCATCTTTTCTTTGTCTCCTCCACTTCCTACCACACCTTCTACTTACTTCTGTGCATATAAATCTCCCAGAAATTATAACAGCTCAAATTTATAGAGTGCTTTAATGTTTGCAAAGGGCTTTCTTCACAAGTGTTCTCATTTGTTCCTTAGAAATGATACCCCTGTGAGGCACTACAAGAATAATTATCCCAATTTTATAGATGTGAAATTTGAGGACCAGAGAGATTGTCACTTACCTAAGCTCACATAAGCTAAAAAGCTTTAGACCCCAAATTTGAATGAAGGTCTCCAAGCCCAGCATCTTTTCAGCACATCAGGTAAGCACTGGTAAGAAGCCTGGTGTGATGAACGAGGTCCTGGATGTGGAAGCAGAGATCTACATTTCCTTCCTGACTCTGCCACTTAATTTAGGACTTCTATAGGCCTCAGTTCTTCATCTGTAAAATGAGGGGATGGACTGAGATGCCCATTCAGTTTTCTTCTAATTATAAATATGGGATTTTGGACGAATCCTTTCTACTCTGACTTCTGACTCTAAATCATCAACAATCTCCCAGCTGCCAAATCTGATGGTCTCTTCTAGGAGCTCATCCTTTCTGACCTCTTTGCAATATTTGATACTGGATCACACACTCTTCTTGGTAGGCTTCACTGTCTCCTGTCCTCCTCCCTATATGAACCTCATACCATCACAGTCTTCTTTGCTGAGTCACCATCCATATCACGCCCCTAACTAACTGTAGGCTTCCCTTGGCTCTCGTCTCTCTGTATCTATTCTCTCAATGACCTGATCAATTCCTGTGGACTTACTCATCATCACACTAGATCTAAGTCACACAGGTAACACAAATTTATTTATCCAGCTGCAGTATCTCTCCTGAGCTCCAGTTCCCATATTGCTAACTCCCTGTTAGACAATTTGCACTGGGTTTTACATAAGCTGTTCAAACTCAACAAGTCTATAAAAGAATTCACTGTCTTTCTCCCTAAACCCAGGTCTCTTCTGAATGTCCCATGAAGGATGAGGCTACCAGCATTCCTCCAGCATCTCAGCATTATTCTTGACTCTCCCCTCACTCTATTCATCCTATTAGCCAGAGGCTATCTTTTCTACCTCCACAGTATCTCTTGTGTATGACACTTTATCTACACTCACAAAGCCTTCCCTTTCCTCAGCCCTCAGGACCACTCACCTGGATGACTGCAATATTCTCCTAATTAGTCTCCCTACCTCAATTCTCTTCCAAATCTAATCCATCTTCCACACAACTAATTGATTTTCTTTAAATGCACATTTGACTATGTCACTCCCCAACTTAGTGAAGTCCAGTAGCTTTTTATGGCCCCCTAAGATCAGTTGTAAACTTCTCTGTTCATCCTTTTCCAGCCTCTTTATATTATCATTCCTCTTCCAGCCCTATGGCGCAGTCTCTCTGGCCTTCTCTATCTCCCTCACACCCAGCATTCCATTCCTTTCTCCCATGCCTTTGCATAGCCTGAAACATGCTCCATTCTCACATCTACCTTGCAGAACTGCTCACTTCCCTTAGGACTCAGCTCAAGTACCATCTTCTACAGGAAGCCTTTCCCAATCCCCCTAATTGCTAATGCACTCTCTTCCCTTCCCTACCTTATATTTAACTATCTGGTGTTTACTCAGCACATATTGTTCTGGGTGTTTCTATGTATGTACACATTGCCCTGTTCTTCCCAAGAGAAGGGGTTGCTTCCTTTTTTGTCTCTGAATCCCCAGTGCCTACAACAGGGCTTAACACATACGAAGTACTTGTTGGACAACAGACATGCCCTAAGGACAACGAATGTTTTCTATTTATCTCTGCATTCCCAGCACCCAGAATTGTGCGTTACACGTGGTAGGCACTTAATAAGTGTGTGTCAAATTGAGCTGAATTCAGGACATCTTAGGGAGGGTAAGATGACAAGAGAATGGAATAAAAGATATATAGATCTCCTGTATCAGCTGAATACCTTCGAGACACACCAAGGACTCTGAGGAGGAGCAGGATCATGGGTGTTCTTAGATATAGATTGTCTGAAAACTGCCTGTTCACAAAATCTAAATGCTAACGCTTCTACAGCAGGGGAGTGAGTGCTCCTTCATTGATGAAAAATAACACATTTCTGCAAAAATGGTGGACTTTAAGGTCACATTATGAAAAAACGAGTGTCACCAGATACTCTGGAACAATAGAACCTGAGCAAAGAGGAGATGAAGCAAATATAGGTGCAATACAGAGAAGAGCAACCTCTTTAGAAACTTCCTAGCAAGGGGGATTTCTATATCTTTGGAAAAGAGATATACAATCTACTGGCATACAAGAGAAATATATGCATACAAGAGAAAAAGGTCAAGAGCCCATTGTGGATGGTAAGAGGATGAGTAAAGGATTAGGGGATATATACATATGTTTGAGAGTGATGTTCAATGTTATATATTGAAAGGAGAAAGAGAGCTAAACTGGATTCAGCATTGCACAATGATCCTGTTCCTCTGAAGGCAGTTCATTACCTGGCAAATAAAACTGTACCAAATCATAACATGATAGTTTCAAAGTTGCTCTGCATCACTGAGGTCACAGGTAAAGGAGCATGGGGGAGGGAGACAAGAACTATCATTTTTACCCAACAAAAATAGAAAAGAATAACTATGAACCACTATGTCACTTTCTGATCTCTATAAAAACTTTATGAGAATGATCACACACATATCAAGGATAGCCTTAGTGCAAACACAAAATGGGAACAGGCAGGCTTTTGTAGTTGATTTCCTACAACAGACCATAAGCCCAGTAACATACCTGACTACAAGGTAGAAAGGACACATAAGGATCATACTGTATTGTTTGTGGAGTTCAAAGAGGTACCTAACAACTTCTTTGACTAAAATATAACCTTAGGGGAGGAAGGGGGAGAAAAAATTGTACACTCAAAAGCATATGGAAGTGATTGTTGATAAATCAAAATAAATTAATTAAAAAAAATAAAATGCAACCTTTAAATTATTTTAAAATAAAGGGATTTGGGGCAGCTAGGCGAAGCAGTGGATAGAGCTCCGGCCTTGGAGTTAGGAGGACCTGAGTTCAAATCTGGTCTCAGACACTTGACATTTATTACCTGTGTGACCCTGGGCAAGTCACTTAACCCGACTGCCTCACCAAAAAGCAAAAAATAAATTAAAATAAAACAGATAAAATAAAATAAAGAGATTCCCATGTTATGTTAAGATCATATATAACAGCCTACATTAATTATGACCATGGAGACAACTCTGTTCAAAGGTATACTGGCTATCAACATCAAATATAAAGCAGGAAGGCATATGCTCACCAATAAGGTGTTCAGTGTCCTGAAGGATGTCCTATGCAGGGTCCAAATAAAAGAGGGATTACCTATTGATGGCAAAGACCATGGAGATAACTTTGTTCAATAATCCACTGAGTACAAACATAAAATTACACAACAGGAAGATACACGCTTCTCCCTAAGGTGTTCATCAGAGTCCTGGAGGGTTTTCTATGTAGAGTCCAAATAAAACAGGGATTAACTACTGATGGCAATGTTCTTTAAAAGCTCCTTTTTTTTGGATGAGATGGTGTTGACTGCATAGAGTCCCTTAGTTGTACTGGAATGTGATGCAAGGTCACTAAAAAGAAATTGGACTAGCCGTGTACACTTAGATCAAAAATGTCTATTGCCCAGATTATGAATCTAGCTGGTGATACAGATTAATTTTTCCATCAATATAAATATCTTAAATTGGAGCTGCAGATGAACAATGAAGTGGGGTGCAGAAATGAATGGGAAGAAGACATTAGGCTGAATTACATTTGAGAAATTACAGTAATCTCAATGATATGAAGCTGACCAATGCAAGCAAATGATTATCAGTATCCTTCTGAGGACGCTATATGGTTGTGAACTCTGGCATATCAAAATTGTAGAAGAATGAAAATTATAAGTGACTCAAAGGACAATAGAGAGATGTGTAGTGGGTGCAGTACATTGTGAATTATGGCTTTCGTGTGAAAAACAGTATAGAAAACATCATCAAGAAATCAAGATTGGAAAAGTAAGTGGGCCAGTGATGAACTGAATAAAAGACAATAGGCAGACTTGATCCCTTTATACAGGAATTATGGAAAGAACAGATACCATAGCATGCAGATGAGGAAGTACAACACAGTTGTAAACTGCAGAGAAGGAGGACATAGACATTCTGATAGAATCATGCAAGGTTCCAATGAAGTCTTGAAGTAAGTAATGCTACCTCAATGTTATCAAATGACAAGCTAAATGTAATCGCTTCCCTCAGACATTTTTCTTTAATTGAAACTCATTAGGAAACCATTTTCCTGAGACATGAGGGTCAACTACATAATCCCTGGAGAACTTTCCCAAGGTGACCCAGTATGGGTTGGGGACCCTAAGCTCAGCTTTGCTGTTTGCTACTATGTGACCTTAGGCAAATCGTTTAACCTCTCTGGCTTTCATTATCCTCATCTGCAAAACGATGGAGTTTGACAAAATGATCTCTCAACATCCTCTGAAGTTTTAAATAAAAGGCTCTATGATGATGGAAAAGATCAAATTCAACAGAAATATTCCCCCTTTAGAAAGGAATAAAAGTCAAATATTAGTCTCTAGGTATAGATAGCATAAAGTCAATTTCTATTTATCCAGAATGAAGAGGATATATCATTGTTAATTTAATATTACTTGTTAACTGACTATACCACATACAGGATATATACTGGATTTCTGATTTTCAAAAGAATAAAATTTGATAAAATACAGCATAAAATTAAACTAAATTCAACAAATATGCATTTATATATATTATGTGTAAGGCAATGAAATAAGGAATGTGATTTCTTTAGTTTTTAAAAATTCAGAGGACACTTTAGGATAACCACAAGGTCATCATTGTGAACGTTAATTATCACACTATGAATGTGAGGAAGATTATAATTACTTGAGTTTTCCATATATACATATATATATATATACATATATATATATATATATACACACATATGTGTGTGTGTATATATATATATATATATATATACTCACACATACCTGCTATCTCTCCCTCAATACAATGAACCTTCCCCTGAAAATAGGAATTACAAAATAAGGACACTTCAAAAGCTGGAAGGGACTTCTTAGGACTTCTAGTCCAGGCCACACACAAAAGAATATTCTATGAAATGGCAGTCAAATGGCTGTCCAGCCTCTACTTAAAAACCTCCAATGGGGGAGCCCACCACCCCATTAGGTGGTCCATCCCCGCTTCTGGGCAGCTCCTGCTGTTGGGGAATTTCTTTCCTGATGACCAACCTAAACTGGCCTCTTTCCAGCTTTCCACCACCACTTCTGGCTCTGCAATCTGGGGCCAAACAGAACAGATAATACCCCTCCTCCACAAAACAGCACGTCACCTATTTAAAGAGTCTTCTCTTCTCCAGGCTTTTATATCCAGTTCCTTCAACACATCTTCATAGGTCAATTATTTCATTCTTTGGACTGGAATCCCTCAGGCCAAGCACAGGGAAAACTCTTTATAAATCTATTCAGCTGGCTGCCTGACTCTATCATTCATCTTGTCATCTCCTACCTACAAGGAACTTAACATTTAATTTTTGTTAAAAAATGAGAATGTGCAGTGATTACACAGCTAACACCATGGTGCAGACCCTCACCCGCTCTTGTCCACGTGGCTGCAAAAGCCCTCTCCATGGTCCTGCTGCCTCAGCTTGCTACCCATTCCAGTCTATTCTACACACTGCTATCAATGAAACTTTCCTTAAACAAAAACCTGTCTACACAATTCTTCAACCCAATTAACTCCAGAGGCTCCCTAGTGCTCACAGGATCCTGACCTTTTCCTATCTTTACAGCCCCACTGGGCCTCGCCCTGCCCTCCCAGACCCTGCAACCCAGACAAACAGGTCTTCTCTCCCTCTGTACCTCTCTTCTCTCTGAGTCTTTGCCCTGGCCAACCCCCATGCCTAGAACACGCCAACTCTGCATCACAAAATCCTTCTCTTCTTTCAAGACTTAGCTCCAAATCTTCATTCAAAAAAAAAAAAGACTTAGCTCAGGCACCATCTTTGCTTCTCAATCTGGGGTCTATGAACTTGTTTTAACATCATTTGTTTCATTTTTACTCCTATGTATTTTATTTTATGCATTTGAAACATCATTCTGAGAAGGGATTCATAGGCACCTACCAAAGTCTACAACCCCAAAAAAGGTTAAGAATGCTTTTTCTATATGAAACCTTTCTTTATCTCCCCACCTTCTAGTGCCCTCCCTCCCAAACCACATTGGATCTAACTCCTTCGTATTTATGTGTGGCTATACTCATTCTATTTACTCTGTAGACATTTATTTGTATCCTTGTTTCCTCCTCCTTTAGAATGTAACGGATGGCTTGAAGGTACGGATGGCTTCATTCTTTGTCTTTGTATCTCCCTTTTCCCACTCCCTGCCCCCCCGCGAGTTCAGGTACACAGTAGGAGTTTAATGAATGTTTGCTGATTCTATTGTTGATTGTTAAGAAATTATTTAGGATAGATAAAGCTGTCTTAAATCTCCTTTGAGGTTATTAATTACCAAACATAACATGATTCCCTGGATAAGTGATGAAACTAAATGGAGCAGTCAAAATATGTTACAACACAAATGGCCTCAACACACAAAATTAACCAAACTTAGCCTGATTATAGAAAAAGAATCAGAAACACATCATTTCAGGACTATAAGGGACATGAGAGATCATCTAGTCCAATCCTCTCATGTTATGGTTTAAAAAAAAAACCACCTGATATCCAAAGGGAGGTAACTTACCCAAGGTCAACAAGACACAAGAATAGAAAAACTATCTTACTCTTAAGTCAAATGCTTTTCTTCTACATGGTGATGCTTCATTTCCCATAACTGCCTTTCTATCTAACAATCCAAGTATTATGTTACAATGAAAATTCCCTAAATGACCTCAATACATATTTTTTCTTACACAGCAGAAATCTTCTACAGTGCCATTAGAAACAATATGAAAGAAACAAAACTGTGTGATTTCACTGTTTCATTCTTTTATAATGGTCATCTGAAATAATATGCATTACATCCATGTGCAAAAAAACTTCCCAAAACTGAAGGAAGTTTTATCATAATTATCTAAAAAACATTTTATAATTAATGGAAAATTGCTTCTGTTTTCTCCCAATTTGAAATTAAAATCTGCAATTAGAATTCTACTTTTGTACGTATCCCTGGCTTTATAGAGTAAATGTTAATCTAGTAAATTTATAAAGGTTCATTTTCCCATTGATTTTCAAGATAAAATTTTTGATACATATTCAAAATGAATACTGAGTTGAAAGCTTTTGGCAAGGAAGAGATTATAATGGTCACCAGTTCTATAAATGCTGGAGACAATGATGCACTAGTAGTCCCTTCCTAGCTGGTGACATTTTGTATCTCTATCATTCAAAGGGATTTTCTTAATTTTGGGATCTCTGCTCTGCCACCATCACTTTCCCCTTCTCAACCATAAGGAATTCCCATACCTGGAGACTTCATAAAAGGAAAAAGGGTAATGAGCTACAGGCCCTGTGCAGCCCAGTCTTAATTAGCAATGCAAAGTCACAACCTCACTGGGTCACTGTTTTCCTATCTATAAAATGAGGGAATCAGATCAGTAGCATGGTATGGTAAGAAGAATAAAGGTACAAGGAATAAGGAGACCCAGTTCTAGCCCTTTTACCCTAACAGGAGAAGTTTGGATGATCAACATGCACCTTGCCTTAGAGAGGAACAGAGATGTCTTTCCTGGACAGACTGTTCCAGGACATTGAGGTCATAGACCCATTCTCTCTAACAGATCAGCTAGCCAAGAAGCAATGAAGATGATCAGGAAGTGATAATCCTCTCAATGAAAACTCCCAGGCCTTTCTTCTTCTCCAGCAGAACTACTTGCTGATGCATAATGAGTCAAAGCCATTATTTATGGCAGTACAGCAAATATGTAGTAAGAAACTGTGCTGGGAATTCAAGATGCTAAGAAATCTCACTACAAGTGCCTTTATCTCTCTTCACCCCTTCCCGACTGTTGACCACACACCATCTACTGACCTGTGGGGAATGAGGCAATAACCACAACAGTCCCACTTGTAAAGTGATAATTAGTCTCTAAAAACCACAGCCCAGGAAAGTTCTACTACCCAGAATCTCCTACCACTAACTAGACCACAAAGTTCCCCTGCCATGAAGAGTGTAGGGATGGCCACTGAGGCATGCAGTTAATCCACAATAAAGATTAAGAACATGTAGATTTTTTTATTAGAAATTTTCTAAGATAATTTAATTAATATAGTATTTTTGTAAATTTTGCATGTTGGCTACTAATATCATTGTTCTAGCTAAATAAGATGCTAGTGACATGTTTTTAAAAGCCCTAAACTATCTACTTCTCTATCTAATCTGTTTGTACATTTTTTTAAATCCTATGCACACACCACATGCTAAAAATACGAGAATTTTACACAACCAAACACGTGGCATGTAAACTTAAATCTCATTAAAATCATCTTACCTGTGTAAAAAGAATAAACTGAGCCAACTTCCAAGGAAGCATGAAAGCGACATTAGCCACAAGGAGTGCAATGAAGTCTTTCTTACAATTCTGATGAGATCTTAAAAGAGAGAATACCAACACATTTAGCCAGAAAATCTCTTACTCAAAGATAGGCAGCAAGACGGAACACCAAAATTGAAATATTGAACTGTGAAAGTCTTCTCCCTAATCCTACTCTCCTGTCTTCCTTCTCCCACTCCCTTATTCCTCTAATACCCGTTTTAAGCTTTCTATCCCTTGATTCTTTTCAGGTCTCCCATCCACCCTGTTTAGGCTTGATACAGAACCACCCAAGCCCTTACCCTCAATTGAACAGTACCCTTTACCTCGAGGAGGCAGCAGGTGCACCCAGGAATCCAGAATGTCATTTTAAGCTTAAGGAGCAGTCTCTTTGCCCTGACTAGGCCTGATTTTGCTGATAACAAGAATGTAAATAGTTCAAGGAGAAAAGCACCCCTTCTTTAATGATCCTCTCCCCTCTGAAAATACTCTGTTTCTAGTTTTTCACTACAAACTGTACAGTCTTAACTGATAAACATTTGTTCCTTTTATGTGTAAGGTATTAATACTTATGTGTGAAACACACTTTTTGGAGAGACAAGTGTAAGCCTTAATTTTTGGTCTGTCTTCCCTGCAATTGCAGTAACACCGGCTCCTGATCACAATTCACCTGATAAGGGAATTTGTTCCCCTTACTGGCTTCACTTTCCTTCCTACCCAGATCTGAACCTGTGGTCAGCTCCATCCTTGAAGGACCTGGCTTCAAATCTTGGCTTTGCTCCCCACACCTAGGACCTAATATCACAGCTCAATTTCTTCACAAAATGAGGGGTCTGGAAAGTTGATGTTTTAAGGTCCTCTGGGCCTCTAAATCCTATAAACCAAATCTCCTCAACTTTCTATTCTTTCCACTACCCTCCACTCCAAAGCCCACATCCTCTGCTCCACTCCTACAGTTTAGGGATACTAACTGGCTCCACTACAAAGGCTGACTAGTACTAACAAGGCCCTCGATGCTCCACAGCGTCATCCTCTCTTACTGTCCCCTCATCGACAGTGGAGCACAGTGAAAACTAGGTGGGATCTTAAATGTGAAAACCTGAGTTCAAATTCTAACTCTCACTCACTCAGCTGCCTTGGGTATGTCACTTAAAGCTCTTCACACTTCATTTTTTCACCTTTGTAGTGAGGGAGTTAGACAAGAGGACCACTCAAGTCCCTTCCAACTCAATCTCTAGGACTTTCCCCAACTATTCTCCTAAACCCTTCCCCAACTCTCGGAAAAATAAAGTGGCCTCCCACTTTGTCAGCAACACTAAGGTTCCACCTGAATTCCCTCCATCAATCATTTTCTTCCTCTTGTGAAACTTCTATTTTCTCCTTTCCACTGCTTTCTGTACTTACTTTTGCTTGTTCCTCCATCTCCTACTGCCCTCTGAACCCGGGTGTCATTCTCAAGGGTCTGTTTTTGGCTCCTTTCTCTCACTTTTCCAAACTCCCTACCCTTTTGTAAATTCCATCAACTCATATAGTTTCAATTATCATCTATGCTGATGACAGATCAAAAACTCCACCTACCTCTAACCACTCCCTTAGCATTCTGTTTGTGTTCTCTCTCTCTCTCTCTCTCTCTCTCTCTCTCTCTCCCCCCTCCTCTTCCTCCTTCTCCCCCCCATAACCCCCCCGACTTAGCTGCCACCTCCTATTGATTATATCACTATACCATCTCCTAACCATCCTAATTCAGACCCGCATCACTTTTCACTGGTCTACCTGCCTGGAAAGCATATGTCCTCTCATTTATTCTTCATATCAGTCTAAATACTCTTCCTAGTGCATTGCTATGGTCATCACGACTTACTAGCTGTGTGACTCTGAGCAAGTCACTTTGTTTGCCTCAGTTTCCTCATCTGTAAAATGAGCTGAAGGAGGAAATGGCAAACCCAACTTCACTGTGAGATTTGCAATCTCAAAGTCATCCTCGGCTCTAATTTACTTTCCCTCATTCTGCCCCATCCAATTCACTAGCAATCTTGTTAATTGTCTCTCTACAACAACTCGCCTAAGTCCTCTTCTCCCTGTTCCCATTGCCACCACCTCTTGCCTGGCTCTACTGCCATAGCTTCCTAATTGACTTCCTTTCCCTCCCTGATCTATCTTCTCAAAGCTACCAAACTGAAATTCTGAATGCAGATCTCACCATGTCACTCCCCTACTCCACAAATTTCTGTGGCTCCCTACTATTTAGGGAAAATTACAAACTACTCTGTTTGGCACTTAAAGTCCTTTACAATGTGGTTTGAACCTATATTTCTTGATGGATTTTACTTTTTTACCATCTTTTTTTTTTAATCACCTTTTACGTGGCATTCCACCTCCTGCCTGAAATGTTTCCCTCCTTCCTTCTACCTCCGAGAATCCCAGGCTCCCTTTCACAGATTAATCAGGAACAATGTTTGACCTATGACCTTCCAACCCCTCTCATCCTTACTCTGTACTTACCTTGTATAAAGTCTATATTTTTCTTTTTTTTAGTATTATTATTTTTATTATATTGGTACAGTCCACTCATAAGCACTGAATATTCCTTCAGCTACAGTATTTAAGTTGTTCTTTATTTCTTTTTTTAATTTTTAATTTATTTATTTTTAGTTTTCAACATTCACTTCCACAAGATTTTGAGTTCCAAATTTCTTCCCCATCTCTCCCACCCACCCCAAGACAGCATGCACTGTGAATACCCGTTCCCCAATCTGCCCTCCCTTCTATCATTCCCCCTTATCTTATCCCCTTCCTCTTCTATTTTCCCATACGGCAGCATATAAAAAACAATTTTTAACATTTGTTTTTAAAACTTTGGATTCCAAACTCCCTCCTTTCCTCCCTCCCCACCCACCCTCAGTAAGAAGCAACTTGATATAGGTTATACATGTATAGTCATACAAAACACTTCCATAATAGCCAAGTTGTAAAAATTAACTATATTTCCCTTCACCCTATCCCACCCCCACCCCACTTATTCTATTCTCTTCTTTGATCCTGTCCTTCTTCAAAAGTGTTTGCTTCTGATTACCCCCTCCCCCAATCTGCCCTCCCCTCTAGCATTCCCCCCTCTCTTATCCCCTTCCCCCCTATTTTGCTGTAGGGTAAGATAGATTTCCATACCCAGTTGTAAACTGTATTTTTCATCTCTGTCCATATTACTGCCCCAGTCGAATGTAAGATTCTCTTTTATTTTTGTCTTTGTATCTTTGCCTTTAAAAATCCTCAATGAATTTAACTGAACTGAATAATGAGCCTGGGAGAGCCTGATCCACAAGGAACCTTAAAACCCAAGGTCCACTCCAACATCCCTTCCTAGGAAATCAAGAAGCCTCTAACGAGGACTGATGCCATGACCATAGAGTCCCCTAACCTGAAATACATTTTCAGGTGTCCATCACCACTCCTTCTTTCCAGAGAGCAAAGCTGATCCAGGCATTAAAAACAACCACAGTATACATCCATTATGAGGAAGTCATAACCTGCATGCTTACAGTGAAATCCTGAACCTGTATTTCAGTCATGTCTGAAATGTTGTGACCCCATTTGGGGTTTTATTGGCAAAGATACTCTAGCTCATTTTACAGATGAGGAAATTGAGGCAAATAGGGTAAAGTGACTTGCCCAGGGTCATACAGCTACTAAGTATCTGAGACCAGATCTGAACTCAGAAAGATGAGTCTTCGCCTCAAATTCTTAAAATCTAGCCAACAGTGCAGACTCACTAGGAATCTCATTCCCTCCAATCAATGTCCTAATAAATCTTGTCTTTGGCTTGGGTCAAATTCATTCAGGCAGGACCCGTATCTCACTATTTCAGGTCCCAGCACCCTTCAACCTCAACATTTTGGTGGCCTAAGTGGGGAAACTGCCTAAGCCTAAGCTCTTCTCCAGTCAGGACTAGAAGCCTCCCCTCTCTCCCTACTCCCTTCTTGCCCTGCAGTTGGGGTCACTCTCCAAGCACCTAGGAAGGTTTGGAGGTGCTTTTCAGACAAACAGTTATGAGGCTGTCTTACACTCGGCCTGACACTTTCAGGCTCTTGATCCATCGGTTTGGGTCGAGGCCATGGACCTGGATATACCTTCTGCAGCATAGAGGACAAGGATGGATGCCCTATGAGGAAGCATATGCCCTATTCTATTCATTCTTTCAGCACCTACACCCAGAGATCCTCCTTCATAGAGGCTACAAGGAAAAGTCAGAACTGCTAAAAACATCCTAGCAGATTATGGAGGTTTTGTGATTGATCATTAAGGAGTTTTGAAATGCCTCTTCACAACCCTGGTCACTTCCTTCCTGAACTCCCTTCCCTCTAGTCAAGAGGGTATCTCTGTTAGCCTCTCTTACAGAAGAGAGTTTCACCCTTCCCCGCTACCTTTGAATTCACCCTCCCCCACCTGGTGAAAGGAAGCAGGGGAGGGGCAGCAGCTACAGCATGGGCCCCACTGGCAATGGCCTGGGGCCCTGGAGCAACCTTTGCCTGGAAGCATCATCCAGGTTCGGGACATCCTGCTCACCAACCCCACCTCAACCCCCAGCAGCCGTGGGGAGAGAGGGAAGGGGGATGGATCAAAGTAAAGAAGCCAGCCAGTCTGAGAACTTGGGTAAGCCTGCTCTTAAAGTTGTAGTTTTAACATGTTAATGATGAGATGCTGATTCTCTGTGTAAAGCAATTTGAAAATGCATTCAACAAAATTGAAGTCACTTGATCAGTAATGGGAACCTTTTTGTGTCAGTTATGTCAAGCAACTTTTCATAATTTGCTTTCAGCTAAAACAATTTGGCTATTGTTGGTTATTGCTTTAATGTGTAAACTTGTCAAAAAGCTTATTTGGGTTATGACTTGCTGAAAATTTGCAAATATACAGAAATAATCTCTAAGGATTAGCTTTTTACACCAGGACTTATTTAAATTTAAGATGTAAATCCTTGAAAAGTTTTTTTCCTAAGCTGTGATTAGTAAAAGTTGCTGTATGAGATCAAAGCTCATGGGACCATAAATGATTTTGAGTTGTCTGATAGAGTATAATAAGCCATCAATAATCAGTAATCACCATCTGAGAGAAATGCCACAAGCTACTCAGAGAATCTGATAACTGGTGGGAAATAAAGGAATGTTAACTCACCTGGCTATTCCTGAATCTGGCTATGAGGTGGATCTGATACTGCATGATTGGAAAATTGAATTATCTAAACAAAAACAGAGCTAAGGATGTTTTATCCTGTCATATTTGGGCCCTAAATCTTGTCCCTGCTTTATCCTTTTATAGCCAATTTCTATAGCAAATAGATGATAAAAGAACAATGCAAGTATGTGAGATCTTGCTGTTTTGACCTGAATGTGTAGTCAATCAATACCTTCAAACAACTGAAATTAAATCAGACTTTCACCCCTTACCCCAAAAGAGTTTGGGTCCCATTTGAGTGAGGAATGATGGGGATGAGATCTGAACCCCTAAAAGTTAAAGACCATGTCTTTGGGATCTGGACCCCAAAAAAGAAAAGCCCTGGCCTTCACCTGGAAGAACCAGCCCTTCCCAGGTAATTAACTGTCCTAGCATTGTGGCTTTGACCCTGCCCCAATTTTCAATTCTGACTGAACCCAACTTTCATTGTCTGTTACCTTGGGACACTTCCCACCCTTAATCCTATCGAGACTCCGTTTTTCCTTGGCCAGGTCTCTGGCATTCTCTGTTACCTTACAGTCACCTTAGACTACTTGGCCACTCCTTGATCCCTCCCACAGTCTTTCTATATATAAGATCCATCTCACATCCATTAAACGGTTCAGATTCTCAAAATATGGCCAGTAGCGCTGACTCACCAGGAATCTCGCTCACACCAATCAGTATTCTAATAAACCTTGTCTTTGGCTGGGGGAAAAAAAAAAAAAAGATGAGTCTTCCTGACTCCAGGTCCAGCATTCTATCCATTGCACCACCTAGCTGCCGTCTTTGTACTTTGTAGCATCCTACTGATTGGGGTGAGCGAGATTCCTAGTGAGTCTGTGCTACCGCCCCCACAACTTTCAAATGTTTATATTGTTAATGTACTGGTTGCCACCCAAAACATGCATTTTCCATCATTTACACTCAAAGAACCAGGGGAAAATAAAAACTTCCAGCTAAATTATTAGAGACCTGAACAATTCAGAAATACCTGGTAAATATCCTTACTGCTTGCCATTGAAACTATCTCTGAAAACTAGTCAAGACATTTCCATAAGTCACTAATGTTTCATTAGAGATGGTTTCATGAAAAGCCATCCCTAGCTAATAATCTTGAAAATAACTGATACAACAGTTTGATTCTGATAAAGCAAGAAAAGATACTCTAAAATATAGCCTGGGCAATACTCACAAACAAAAAGGGCAGGAACTACCTACTGTAACTGAATAGAATAACTAAAAGATGAGATCTAGATTATCAAGTAAAAAAACATTTTTGTACAATGAGTTTCAAAATTACGTTATTTCTTAATTTAATTATCATATATCTTATGTGTAAATAACTATATTTCTAGATTACCATTTCTTAATTTACTTTGATAACTTGATCCCATTTATAAAAAATACATGAGTATCTAAGTATCTAATGAGTATCAAACCTTTTAGATAAACAAAAATCTTAGAAATTCAAGTATGTTTAACAAGCAATTAAGTATTAATAAAAATTACCTGAGAACATGAGTTATGAGCAGCATCTGAAGTACATGGAATGGGTAGGAGAAACTTTCTCGGAGGGGTGGAGTCCACATCACACGTGTAGCCTAAAAACAATAAGCCGCTTAGTTTATTGCATATTTCACTGCACTTAAATACTATTGGTGAAAATAATGACTCATAAATATTTTATTAATATAAGTAAATAACTATAATATATCCTAAGTCTGGCTCTTCAGGCTAAGTTTCCCAGTCCTAGAAACCAAGACTTAGTTCTGCAACTAGAAAGTCCAGAGACAAGAGGACACAGGCTAAGGGGACAGTAAAAACCTGAGGGTCACTGGTACTAGAGGGCCAGAACTGAAGCTAGGAGTTTAAAGGGTTGGGACCTGTAACTTTAGCCTAGACTTGTTCTTAAGACATGTCAGGTTAGATATTTACAAACACCAATGGAGCCTGCATATACTAAGTTCAAAAATTTGCACAAATCGCTGGTAATTCCAGAGGCTTCAGCATTTGTAAACTCTCTTAAAATAATTATCTGATAGACATCAATGTGTTTGTGAATTATTGAAATAATATATAAAAATCCACCTAATAAGTTTTGAACATAAGTTAGTTCTCTCAAAATCCCCAAGTAAAATTTTTATAAAAGACAAATTTTAGAAAATTACAAGGAGCATTAAGAATTGGTATAGTTTCCTCATGTGAAATAAAATATGATTAACTAGTAATGAAATTAACGAGAAAAGCTAATGCTGTCAAAGTATTATACAAAATTTCAAATTTTTTGATAAATTGTGATAACACTACTGTAGTAATTTATTTAAAAGCTGTTCTGTCTATTTAAATGTGATTTTTAATAATCAGCAGAAGTCGATCTTAAGCAAAAAGCTCCAGGTTGCTGAGGAGTGAGAGGCCTTCTGAAGTGAAAGTCATTGGCTCGAAGAATTCCAGGGAAAGCCCTTAATTTCCAGGATGAAGGCACCACAGCCCAAGGAGGCAGAGTACCTAGTCCAAGGTCACACAGGCTCTGATCTGGGGCTTCCAAATGTGAAACCAGTACAAGGTAATCTCACTGTTACATAAAAAGTAATGTTTACACCTAAACCAGCTGGATCAGGTTGTACGAGTGTAACCCTTCCTGACCAGGATATAGATTCACAGGGGGTCTAGGATTTTGCTTATGGATTTTATTCAGTTTTTTCTTCTGACTGTGGAAGGAAAAAGACAAACATAACAACAAAAAATGGTCTGGAAATTTAAGTTAAAAAAAAAGCTAAGGATGCAAAATTATATCTCTTCCCGGTAAGAACAGATAGCTCAGTAGGGCAAAGTGGCCAGGAACAGGCCATCTGGAGCCAGACAGGATAAAATGGGGAAATCACTCCTGGTAAAAACAGAAAAATGATTGTTAAATCCTAGATAGCTCTCATATAGAAAATCAGGGCTAATTCAGACGATGATTAATAATAAACACCCATTTCCATAGTGATAGAAAGTTAGAAAAGGGGACAGAGGGCACTAAGAATCACCCTGTTTTTAGTCTACTTAAAAATACTAAAGTAACAGATAATTACTCTAAATGTGAGACCTTTGTCCCGTGACTAAAGTGATAAAATGTTAGATATACCACATCATCCATATTGACATTCTTGGTATAAAGGGAATCAGAAGGCATAAAGAGTATAGAGTTAAATGGAAGGTACTTCTTCTAAAGGCAAATACATTTCTAATGGAAATAGAAGAATTAATTCCATCACGTACCCAACTGCAACAAGAAACATCATGTCTTGCAATGCTTATAGAATCATGCTGTCTTGTAGTACTCAGAATGAGCAAAAGCAATAAAAACAATAATGATAATAATAAAAACTCTAAACCAAGTGCAACTTATGCACAGATATCAGCTACAGAGGATGAAGAAGTAAAGAAATAACACAAGTGGAGAAGATCCTCCAAATCAAGTCAGAATATACCCCACGATTTTTAGTAACTTCACTGTGAAGGTAGAGAAAAAGGAAGATGGTGAAAAACATCAGAAAATATGAATGAGCTGCAATTATATAAGAGATCAAAGGCTTACAGATTACATATAAGGCTCATGCTCCTAGACATGAATAAAAATAAAAGAAAAAATCATAAAAACCATAAATACCATATTGTAGATAAGAACATTGGAATCAGGAACCAGAAGACATTAGTTTACAACATGGGAATCATTTCACAATCACAATCACACAATGCTTGCGTATAGTTAGAATTTAACTGTTTGGAGGAGGTATCAAATACAATACCAATTTTTTTTTAATAAGAGTAAAAGAACACTGTATGAAATTATGACAGCTACAACCTGACCTTTCAAACAAGCTAATGATTGAAAAATGAAAAAGGCCAATAAAACATTAACTCTCATCATTTCTTAAAGAAACTTGACCAAAGTAAATCAGTTTCCAACACAAGGAGGCCAAAACTGCCTCAACCAGCAAAGGCTTGATCTCCTTGCCAAACAGAGACATGGCAGCCAAAAGAAACACCAATACGAGCATTAAGTTCATTTGTGAAACATTATAGATGAAGTAGCGAGAAGAATGGAAATAGCATCACTTCACAAGAGAGAGGAAAGTAGAGGAGAGGAAAATCTGTTGGTCGTCATAGTTTCATGTTAGGTAATGTTAAAACTTTTACAGATAATGTACTCTTCTGGGAGGGGGCAGAGTTGTTCGCTTGTTGCAAAGGGTTGTGCCCAAAAAGTCTCAACTTTTTTTTTTAATTCAAAAACTCCAAACTGCTTTCTTTTTTTTTTCCAAATAAAAACCTGTCCACAGAAAACTTGAAATAACACTCACTAAGCAAACCAGACATAAAATGTCACAGATTTGCCAGAATGCTTGCTAGTGATCCATTCTCATTATGGAACCACCTCATTTGGGATCAGCCCCAAAGAGAGTTGAAAAGTGTAAAGAAATGTGCACAGAAGTGAGATTCTCCAGACGCTTCTGTTTGCTGACGATATTATGACTGCAGTGCCCTGCAATGTCATAGCACATTCTCAATTAAATCCAGTCATTCAAAAGAGACCACCCTCCCTGTCCAAACAAAGTGCATGAAGAATATATTTACCAAAGTATGACAGTCAGCTGGATTGACACCCCACCCATACACAACTGAGCATTGCCAATGGATCATAATTTAGGCATAAAATTAGAAAGGAATGAGAACTAGACTTTATTGGGAATTAGTGAAGTTTTCAATGACCCCAAACTGTTCCCTGCTGCAAAAGTCAAGATTTTTAACATGAATTCTCGCCTGGTAATGATTATGAACCACTGAATACCACAACCTCAGAAGAATCAAAACTGCAGATTACCCCAAAGGCAATGGAAAACTGCACCATGAGTGCAGTAGGCTGAAGAATATTCTCCAAAACAGCCTGAGTGTGAGAAATGGTTTACAAACATTAAGGACATGTATAACTGAAAAGAGAGGTAGGCCATGCTTAAGAGTGAGGGATAACAGATGGTCAGCTCAGGGCTTACCCTGGTATTCATGCAATATCAAAATAGTCGGAGTCAGATTGCCAGCGTGCTAAGTTGATGCTCTATTATGGAAGGACGTGCCATGAATCAAACTGGATGAGTTTCAATTTCCACCGGGAGAGGGAATACCCACATCAATGAAATCAAAGTATTTTCTTAGAAAATGTAAGAACTGAGCATAAAAGCCTAGCTTGATTTCCTTTCTGTCACCCAATCCTAAGGAATGTTTCTAGTCTGGGTCTTGACTCTCTTATGCAGATGTCATTACACTGCTGGTCACTACTGAAATGACAAGCCTTATCAACTAGGAAGCACCAGCTTTGGGATCAGGAAGATAGATTCAAATGCCACCCCAATACATTCTGGCTGTGTGACCCTGGGCAAGTCATTTATCCCATCTCTGTCCTAGGCAACTCTCTCTGACTAGGAGTTACAGAACACTTTGAGAGAGGGAGTGTCCTCCACTATAAAAACAACAGGTCTGATCCAAAGGAATAAAGTCCCTAGAAAGAAACAATTGTACTAGCCTAGCATTTCTAAGTCTGTTAAATTGTACCAACTGTTTTCAGATTATTTATTAATGAGTAACATTCTCCCAGTTTCAAAAATATGTTCTCTCATTGGTTCTACCAGTTTTTAAAAAATCTAAATTAAGGAAATGTGTGGATTCTACTATTTGAGGGGACACTGAAAACCTACCATGTTCTGAGTGCTGCAGGCCCTCTAAAGAGCCACTGCTTTTGAGTCAAGTTATCATTTAAGTCCTATATAATGTTGACTTAAAATGAGCATGATTTTGATATACAGAGATTAGCCATGTTCCTGGTCCCTCCTTTGGAAGACTCTGCTCTACAATTTAATATTGAATAGAATACAATAGTGATGTTTCTGTATAACAGTTCACTGTACTGTCAAGAGGAGGCTTGTCTTTGTAAAGGCTGGCAATGGCCACTACTTTTTAAAGGTTTAGATTAATCCATACTTTACTATGTTGGCTCCCAAGGCTGTAACAGAGAGAATACGTGGCTTAGAGTCAGGACACCTGAGCTCCAGTGCCAGGTTTAAAATTATTTATGTGACTTCATGCCAGACCCAGCCTGAGGCTCCTTCCTCTTCTGTAATGTATTAGGTGAACATGATAGATGACCTCCAAAATCCAGTTCAAATGTATAATTCTACAAATCTAGAGACTAGTTTTTCAAATAAAAGTTTTCTTTATTATGCTTTCTAGTTCCTTGTATAAAATTATGAATTACTTTTACTATATATATATTCTTTAAATAAGATGACAGAATTCAATTAACATTTGACAAGGTCCCTATGACACAAGTAAAAGTATGGTAGGAGTTTAGAACTTAAAATGATCAATTAACAATAAAGATTTGTCTCTAAAAAAAGAACTTTTCTAGGTACAGACAGAGATACAGATAATCTATGCTTCTTTCCAAACCCTAGGCTAACTCCGCAAAACACTCTACATATCTGACAATAACTTCCTCCATTTATGCTTTCAAGACAGAGAAAAAACTGACCTTAAGGACATCCTACCCTCGATATGTCTATCTATGGTTTTGGTTTGAATAGACTTTCATCTGTTGGAGTGAGCTGCCTTGGTTTTAAGTTCATCTTGTGTTTTATATTCTAAGCTAAACATTCAATGTTACTGCATAACTGTGTATAATATACAGCATATCCTTTCTTAATGAAAATTCTGTAAGAGTATTTAGGAGCTAGAAAATGAAATTATCATATTAAAAAGTTAGTTCTAAATTGCCTTCAAGGATCTACATATAACTGAAATGGTAATTTTCAATCCAAAGTACATTTAAATATTCTGGGGAAGTATGCAATTAGAAAATTCCCCACCCAAATTATGAAAATTAATTTATGGAAAACAAACCTCTCCATGGTTGAAAAAGTAGCACAGAACTGTAATTAGACCTCCTACTTGACTCCCACTACAGAGAAAAAAAAATTAAAGTTACATATACTTAGGTAAAAGCTTTGTTATAAATAATTTTGGAACATCATACATATTTAAAAGAACACATGTAAAAGTAAACATGTAATTCTCTAAATTTTAAAAAAATTAGTAAAATAAACTGTCAAATGCACTAAAAGCAAACCAGTTGGTAATAATTTACATTATTTCATTTTTATATAGATTTCCAAGTACCCATGGTGAGTAACATTTCTAGCCTGAATTAATATATTTATACATATTTGAAATCAAAATGCTGGCAATGATTAACTATTTAACATTTAATTAAAATTTAAATATAAAATATTTGTATACACTGGTGTAACTATAAACAGATATAAACAATTTTAAAACAAACATAGAACATATATATATATATATATACACACACATATATATATATACCTAAGTATTATCCTCATTAAAAATAGTCACCTTTAAAGCTATACATTTATTCTAACAATTCAAAACATTTTGGGAATTCCTTCTTTTGCTATCGAAGTTGAAAATTCTTTTCCATATCCTCAGTCGTAGCAAATCTTCATCCTTTGAAAGTGCAGTGAGATTTTGGTTTTGTTTTTAAACTGACAAAACTTAGAAATAATCAAGTCTGGTAGATATGTAAAATATGGATATAGGTAAAAATGGAGAGCATTTTTGGTTTAAAAAAAGTATGATAGTAAAGAAATGAAACTGATGTTCTTCTGTTCAGCAAATTAGCTCTGAAAGCAATGCCAAAAAGAGTTCTAAAACTGTCTTGAGCAATGAAATCTCTGTAATGTTTTCAGCCTTCCAAGGTGCTATAATGATTTCGATGGATAAATCATTTTTAAAAATCTCATTACCTTATAGTCACAGCTTGTCTAATAACTATAACTCAGGCAAAATGTGTTCAGAGGGAGAGAAGGTGCCAATTAATCAAATATTCTGTTTAACACAGAGTCATAGTTTCACATTCAAGTGGGACCATTGGATCATACATAGATTATTCTAATAATTAAAGAGAATCCAGACAACTGTTTCTACAATATCTTTTCACAGTAACATTGTTAAAACAATATGATCAAACCCCAAATCCCCTCTAAATGCTGGGAACCCCACTGGGATGCCTTAGAGGTGATTCTACATCCACTGATAGCATGCCTGTAGAATTAAGTTCTACCTGCACTGCTAAACAACTGAGTAGGAAACAAAGTGCTCAACTTGGAACTGGGTTTGATTCCTAGCTCTGACACTAACTAGTTGTCTGACCAATGAAAAATCACATAACCAATTATTCTGTGCCTCAAATTCCTCATCTACAAAATCCTAACACTTCACTACCTACATCAGGGTTGTTGTGAGGAAAGCATTTTGTAAGCCTTGATGTGTGTTACAGAAATATCAATGATCATACTTATTATTTTGACTGTTTTCCAAGGACAAATTAAGGTAGACAGATAAACCTTTATTTTCCAAGTGTCCTAAGGCAATCAGGTTATAGAGGAAGTGACCAAAAAATAAGACTAACTGGAGGTGTAAGCAGGGAGAGAAGGCACCAAGGGAGAATCAGAGGATAGAATAATGCCTTATAATTATTTACCTGTCCTTTGCCAATAATTTCTGAAGCTTTGCTCTCTAACTCTATATCTTCAAACCTAATTGAAAATTCAAGTTTGATATGAGAGGAAAATAGATTCTGTTTACAGTGTTTATGCTACCAGCTAAGTGATTCAGACAATTTTAAGAACTGCCCCCCTACTTTTCGAGACTATCTCTAACTTCTGACATTTCTAAACACGCTTTATTTTCAAATACGTTATGTCTCATAGATTTGTTCTTCTTGGGCCCAGAGGAACAGCAGCAATAAAAGTTGACCCGACAGTGGAATGGGCTATTGTCCCTTATCTCTCCTTTTCTCAGACAAATTTTTTAAAGTCATTTACTCTCAAGGCCTCCACCTATTCTTCCTAGTCCCCCGCTTACGTCACTGCAGTCCAGCTTCCAACTTCCTTCACCAACTGAAATGGCTTTCTCCCAAGTTAATAACAATATCCTCATCACCAGATCACACGGCCTCTTCTCAAGCCTTGCACTCCTTGACTTCGGCAGCACTTGGCACCATTAACCAAAAGGACGCGATGGATCCTCTCACCTCCCTGGGTTTTTATGGCATTCCTGGTTCTTCCTCCCAGGATGAGCACTTCTCAACCTCCTTTGAAGAAGCTTAATCCATGCACCTGGTAGCTCAAGGGGCACTTTGATTTTGTTCTTGGTCCCTCTCTTTCATCTCTGATCTCATAGTAATCTACCTCACGATCCCCCATGGATTCAAGTACTATTCTATGCACGACTCCCAAACCCATATGGTCTGCCATCCTTTCCCCCCCAAGTTCCAGGCTCACATCACAAATGGTTCACTTGACATTTCAAAGCAGTTGTCTCAAATGACTGTCAAACGCAACATGACCATGAGAGAACTTACTATCTTGCCCTCCAAAACCACCCTTCTTCCAAACTCCCCAATTATAGTCAAAGACAGCACTACTCTTCTAGTCCCCCAGGTTTGCAAGCTTAGTCTCATTCATCTCACAAAACTAATCAGGTACCAAATCTTGTCATTTCTAGCTCTGCATCCAGGCCTCCTCTTGACTTAAAGCCCCCCAAGTCCCTTCCAATTCTGAAGTATAATGATTCTGTGATTTTTTTTAATTTTCTTTCTATTCATATGCTAGAAATCTAGTACAAGTCTACTAGAAATATCTTATTTTTCTCTTTATATTTATTCAGTTAAGCTAAAATAATTTAATATGAGATTAACTGTAATTTGTCGGGGGGGGGGGGTGTCAACAGTACTTTTTAAAGATATCTTGATAACATAGCAAAATCTAATTAGGAGGGATGGGCCTGATTATTAGACTGAAGATTTCTATTGGATGATGTAGAAAATGGTTTCCTATAGCTTTATGTTGACAGATACAGAAGAGAATAGACTTTATGGTATGAAAACAAAAATAAGGATGGCAGCAGAGTACAATGGAAAGAACCCAAAAGTTGAAATCACATGATTTGAAGGAGACTTTAGAAGTCATCCAGTCCAATCTCCTTTTCTCACAAGCAAGGGTTCTCAAATCCCTTAGTCAGGTGGCATGAGCTTTCTGAGCCTCATTTTCCTCATCTGGATCTCCACAGAAACTTTCATCTCTAAACTTCCCACACTGTTTTGCTTGTGCTTTTCTTTGTATCCCCAGTGCTCATCAGAGTGCCTGGTGACAGTAAGGTAATTAATAAATACTTGATGACTGAGAAAATGCTAACCAAGAGGGGAGGAACTAGTAGTACCTTCTCCCATCTCGCATTAAAAAAAGTTTAAATTGCTATGAGTCAATGTTTTGTTGATATTTTATATCACATATGTATATATGTGTGTGTGTGTGTTAGCATAAACTCGAAAAACAAATTATAATGCACATACCACAGCAAGATTTCTGTAAATATTTTAAGCAATGGAATAGGGAATAATTTATTAAATTGAATCATGGGAAACAAAAATGGACTTACAAATTTAATTAACTACAATAAAAGTTTTTCCCCCTCTCCAAGCCATCCTTCACACAGTTCCCAAGGCATTTTCTTAAAGCAATGATCCATATTCCTCCACTGCTCAATAAACTCTTGTGGCCTCTAAGATCAAACAGAAATGTCTTTCTTTATCTTTTAAAGGCCTTCACAACCTGGCCCAGCCTCCCTTCGTGTGTTCTCTGCAGTCCAGCCATATTGACCTTTTTCCTACGTGACACACAACACCCCCCATACCCCATTTCTGGGATTTTGCACTAGCTGTGTGTGCCCCCCATGCCTGGAATGCACCCCTCCTTACCTCTGTCACTTAGAACCCACTGTCTCCTTCAAAGTTCAGCTCAAGATCTGCTTCTCACAGGAACCCTTTCCTGATTCCCCCAAGGGCTAGTACACCCTCCTCACTCCATGGCAAATTTCCTTCTGTTTATTTCATATATAGAGGCAATATAGCAGAGTGGACTAAGCTAATCTCAAAGCCAATCCACCTTGGTCACCTATGGCTGTGTGACCCTTAAGAAGTTGGTTAACTTCTCAATTCTCCAGGCCATTCTCTTAGATTGGGAATTACAAAGTAAATGCCCATCTTCACGGGCAGACCTTCCTTGCCCAGGGCTCCCTATATATCACTGATATCATGTGTACAATTCCTATTTTGGGAGATGGAGCCAAAATGGCAGAGTTAAGGCAGAACTTCCCTAAACTCTCCCAAATCTGCCTGCGAACAACTATAAAGTAACACCTCAAAATGAATTCTGGACTGGTAGAACCAACAAAAGGATGGGGTAAAACAATTTTCCAGCCCAAGATGACTTAAAAGATCAGCAGAAAAGGTCTATCAGGTAAAAGGGGAGTGCAGTCCAGTGCAAGTGGCATCCAGGCAAGCCAGCAACAGACTATGCCCCAACAAGGTGCAGGAAGGGCCTTTAGCCCCAGTGCAAGTCAGCAGCAAGGCCCTATGCCCTTGGCACAGCAGGCCAGTGATAAGGCCCTGAGACCTCTGTGTAAGAAGCTGGGGACAATGTCCCCTCCAGTCCAGGAGCAGAGCCCGACCTTAACATAAAATCAAAAGTCATCAAATAGGCTGGAAAATGAGCCCAAAAAAAAAACCCTAACCACAGAAAGTTACTATGGTGACAGGGATGATCAAAACACAAAACTCGGAAGGAGATGACAATGTTAAAATATCTACACGTGAAGCTTCAAAGAAAAAGGTGAACTGGTCTTAGGCTAAAAAGAACTCCTGGAAGAGCTCAAAAAGGATTTTAAAAATCAAATGAAAGAGGCAGAAGAAAACTTGGGAAAAGAAATGAGAGTAATGCAAGAGAATCATGAAAAAAAACTCAACAGCTTGGTAAAGGAAGCACAAAAAATGGAAAAAGACGTACAAAAATCCACTAAAGAAAACAACTCCTTAAA